CTTCTCCGCCGTAGCTGCAGATCTCTCTCTTCTCGCTCTCGCTCTCAGCCTCTTGCCTGCTCAGGCAGGTGTTCCAAAGTCCTTCAGCTCTGCCAACACTGCCCAGAGACCGCACACACCACCAAAGCCTTCAAGGATGCTCCACACCCTGGTCCCATGCACGGAAGTCCTCTCGCTCCACACCCTGGTCCCATGCACTGCAGCCCTCTCGCCCCCTCCTGCTGGCCTCCAGCTTCTGCTGCCCCGCTGCTCACTGTCCCCTGTGTCTGTGGAGCTGCCCCTCTCTGTCTGTCCTGGTCTAGGAGGCTCCCAGTGCAGGGACCCAGGCCCAAGGGACATGCTCAGGTCCTGTCTCCTCTTGGTGGGAGCCAGGCCCCCCCTCTGCTGCTGACTCGCTCCTGCTGTTTCCTATCAGATGCACATGTGACTTCAGCAGGGCGCTGACAGACAGGTGGTGACCGGGGTAAGGCTGGTGACCTGAGTCACACCCTCTATCTAGTAAGGACTGCTGGTCCAGCCAAGTCAGTGGTCACAGATTTGGGGTACAGAACTCAACTGGTAGCATCCCCCCTTTGTCACAAGGACTGTGCCAGAAGGGACATTATGTCATTCCCTGCACCAGTGTGCTTCCCAGGTGCATCTGCCCCCCACCCTCGAGGCCCCAATCTGCTACCCACTGTCTGACACCAGTGGCCTCTCAAAGTGCCTCTTCCAACCTTGAAAACAAGGGGTGTCAGCAGCCACAGCTGGGAGAGGCCTCGCTGGGCTGAGGAATGGGGCTGGAGGGTAGAGGAGGGAATCGATTTTCTCCTGTCTCCGTCTGAGGTGACTCAGGGATGTCTCCCTTGTGGTCATTTCAGGCCTCATCACCAGGCCTGACACCTGCCCCAGGGGGCCCAGGGCTCTTTGCAACTAATGACTGTGAGTGTGTGTGTGAAATGACTGTGTGTGAGAATGAGTGTGTCTGTGTGTTAGTGTGTGGGGGAGTATGAGTGTGTATGTGTGTGTGTGTGTGCGTGTGCCTGTGAACCTGTGGGTGTGTGTATGCGAGACTGTGTGCCTATATGTCAGTGTGCACTGTCGATGTAAATGGGTATTATTTGTGCCTGAGTGTGTATCTGTATAACTTCGTGTACATGTGTGTATGTGCCTCCTGTGTGTACTTGAGTGTATCTGCAGGCACTTACCCACCAACAAAATAGAAGTGTCCCTGCTTCCAACATACGTTCCAAACCACCACCCCCAGAGTCCCTTTGCCCCTCCCCCAATGGGCAGCCCTGGGCTCTGTCTGGGGTCTGCCCCCACACTGGGAGAGCTGTGTGCTCTCAGGACCAAGAGAGCCAGGGCAGCTCTGCAGCTGAGACGCCCACTTAGCCCCCCATCCTGCTCTTCTGCACACAGGGTCACCTTCAAGCAGGACCTTTGGTGACCGTGGGCAGAAGCTGGGCTCCCAGGAGAGTGGAATGGGGCAGGGCAATGCTGGTGAAGCAGAGTTGGGCTGGGGTGCTGGTGGGAGAGGGTGGTGGGGAGGCAGGTGCTCATAGAAAGGGCACCTGAGGGCTGTGGTGCTTTCTGGTGTCTTTCCACTCAGCTCTCCACTGTCACCTGGGTGACTCACCCTTTCTAGAAGGAAGTGGGAGCAGGAGAGGGTGAAATTCTCAGGGTGGTCAGTCCCATGAGGACCCAAGTCTGCTCCATAGGGTCACCAAAATGTGGTATGAATGGGTGGGTGGGCAGATGGATGGATGGATGGATGAGTGGGTGGGTGGGTAGATGGATGAATGGATGAGTGGGTGGGTGCATGGGTGCATGGATGGTGGATAGATGGATA